TTGAGAATCTTCTAGTGAGGATATGGGGAGCTGATTTTGGCATCTGATGATGGTCATAGGATCAACCAAATGAGCTCCAGTCAGATTTGGTTTGTTGAGAGAATAAGTGAGACAGTTGGTTCAAGTTTGAATGCATCTGCTCAACGTATCTGGACTGTTATGAGGCCAAGTGGGGCGCACCATATGGCTGGCCATATGGTGGTTGTTGAGTCAGATTCTTGTTGAGATATTCACTTGATATCATGTGGATGTGAGATAAGGTTGTTGACAAGATTTGAATTTTGCAACAACTCTACTCATCCCCCTAGTGTGCGCTACATAGGGCTTTATTTAAGTGAAGAAAATCTGATTTTAATTAACTTATTCTCTCATCTCCTTGTGGGTTCCTTTTGTCAGGTTTTTCTTAAGAGAGTTTTGAAATAACCTAGCCATTTTCAAAGTAAAACCATGAGCCACTTTTGTGTCTATTCTTGCTGAATATTCACTCTTCTAAACACCTTGACCTAGCCTCCTCCTTCACACATTGGGCGCATAGCTTGCCTCCATTGGTGTTTTCGTTGGTGGCCTTGAAGAAGAGTTCTTCCGTCTTGACAAAGGGTGGTGTGGATCAACATTAGAGGGCTTGCATCTTCAAGCCTCATCTTGATCATCCTCAAGTTTTGGAAAGCAAACAAGGTAACATCCATGCCCTAAAACATGTTTCTTGATATAGTATGTGTTATTCCGCTCGAAAATTTTTGTTTTTCCCTCTCACATGCCTCGAACTTCAAGGTCAGTTTCTTTCAGCTACTTCATTTGGTCAAACAGAATGAATGAAATCTGTGGTTATTTTTTTCTCTCATTTCATTTGGTCAAGCAAAATGAAATTTGTGGATTTTTCTTTTCTCTCTTTCCATGTCCTTTTTAATTAAATAATGATAATTCAAAAAAAAAGATAAATAGGAAAAGAAGATAACAGATTTAAAACGTGGGTTTAAAACTTACGAGAAATCTAAGACAAACAAACCTTTTTTTTTATTAATAAAAGTTTAAGTGGGTTAGATAATGTTATCCACTAGGGTTAAAAAAGACCTTTACAATCTCTTTGAAAAAATTTGAGAGAAATTTATGTCACCCATAAATAAAATTCTCACATCAACCGACCGGTAGAGTTTGAACACACGCCACAAACAAACCTTTATATGGCTAAAGAGATGCGCATATTATATCTTAATTATATGGGTTGAAACTCTTAACTCCGCATTTAGGAAATTAGTGATTCCTTAACATACACCAAGAGGTCAAAAATACTCTTACAATTACTACGGCAGCAAAAATCTTTCCATATGGGTGGCATATGAGTGCACCTAGGGGGCCAGGGTTGGCCCCGCCCTCCCTAATTTTTTTTTTAAAAAAATTTATATATACAAATATCATTTTAATAATATTAGTGGACTAATTATCTTAAAAAGTAACCCCTTCAAATTAAAAAATAAAAACTCCTAAAAGAAAATATTATTCTCTTATCTGCATATAATAGAGGTGGCAAAATCGGTCGGCCTGCTCCGATCTACCATCAACCAGCCAAAAATAGGTTGGCTCGCCTAGTCAAAAATGGGTTGGCCCGCCTCGCCTGTTGAATGTGGGTTGAAATACTCAACCCATCCTATTTTATGGTGAATTGACGAGTTAACCCGTCTAAAAAAATAAATTATATTTAATGAATTTTATGATATTACTTATTTTTATTTCACACTCCCCTTAGTTTTTTTTCCATCTCAAGCCTAAATAAATGCTACTATTCAGTCAGACATTCTTTAGGAACTTATTTTTGCCTTCATATATGGATAACCTTTGTTATAAATAAAGTTTTTTTCCTTTAATTTTTCTAGGGAAATACAAAGATTAAAAAAATTAGATATACAAAAATTTTGTGACAAATAAAATACTACTTAATAGGAAAAAAATGACCCTATGGGCCAATCCACCCCCAACCCGTTTTGACCTGCAACCTAGCGGGGCATGTTGCGGCAAGTTGGCGGGTTGAGATGTGTAACCCAACTAATAGAGCCCCAAAAGCTAGCTCAAAGGGTGGGAGTGCCCAAGGTCTTATAAACTCCACATTAGTTGCACATTAACCAATGTGGAACTATATATCTCAACATGCAAAGAACCTTGGGATACACCACCCCAAAAGCTAGCTCAAAGGGTGGGAGTGCCCAAGGTCTTATAAACTCCACATTAGTTGCACATCTAACCAATGTGAAACTATATATCTCAACACGCCTCCTCACGCAAGAGCCCTTTGGGCTAGAAGCGTGGAATTGCACATGTCCAATTTTTGGTTGTGTTTTTTTTTTAATTCCACATTAAAGTGAGAGGCAATGAGGGCTCAAGCTCTGATACCATAATAGAGTTCAAGGAACTCAGAGAGAGAGAATAAGAGAGAGAAGTGAGAGAATCCATTGAAGCTGAAGAGAATTATATGTGTGATATATTCGGTGCACAACAAATACACAGAACACTCATTTATATAGAGCCACACTAACTAACTTGTAACAAACTAGTGGGTTCATGATCAGGTGTAGCTACCACACCAATAGACCTGTAGTGGCCACTGTATAAGTACATGCTAATACCAACCCACCCCGGGTTGACCCGTCGGATTCAACTCATATTACCTCCTCTGGCATGTAGGGGTGTAAATGGGTTATAAGTCTATTTTAGCAGGTATGACCTCTAAGCTTCTAGGCCCAGTTCGTACTTTCTAATAAATAATATTTTTAATTTTTAATAAAATAATATCTTATGATTTTTTTAATTTTTTTAATTTTTCGTAATCTTCCTTTTTCTCATTTCCAAACATAATTTTCTTAACTTTAATTCCTTCGCCGCCACTACTCTTGTCTCCTCCACCAAATTTCGCTACTATTTTGTCTCCTTCTCATCCATTTCAAATTATTAATCGCTCACATTCGATACTCAATGCTTTATTTTTTATACTTTTTGCTCTTAGTAATATTTTTAAAATCATACTGGTCGTGGAATAATTCAAGTTCTTTGTAGGTGATTATTATGAGAAAGAATGTTACTATTGATGCTTATTTTAAGAGAAAGAATGGAAAATATTGAATTTTAAAATATTGAGACTTCTCCTTCAAAGTCTCCTAGAATTGAAAATAAAGAGGTAGTTAAAGAGATTATCAAAAAAAGAAGAAGTAAAGAAATTGATCATGTTACATTGGAAAGAGATATTGCACTACACCATCCAATATTAAAATATCTTAAAAATCAACAAGATAAAATTCGTCGTGCTTATCTTAAACTAAGTCCTTTCCAGTGCAAATTTTATAATTATCCTTTGTCTAAAGAAGCGACATCATTTTTGCTCTTTTTAGTTTGATTTGTTTCCATCTTGGTTAGAGTATTCTCTAACTAAAGATGTTGCATATTGTTTGCCTTCTACAACAATTACTGAAAAAGCTTTCTCGTGTGTGAAGATAATCAAGCATAGGCTTCGAAATATAATAGAAAACCAAATTTTTGATTATTATTTGATTGCATATATCGAAAAAAAATTATTATAAGTTTTAGCACAGATTAAATTATAGAAGAGTTTAATAATATGAAAACATATAGAGTAAGAGTTAAGTAAGTTGATTTTAATTTCTATAATAAATCTCTTTCTAAATTTTTTATATTAGGTCTATATTATATTTTCGCATCCCAGCATAAATTTTTTTCGCTCTGCCACTTTCTTTGGATCAAATGTTTTATTAATAGTCTCACTTGATGATCAGCAAAGTATATATAAGATTATGAGCAGGATTTGATATCCGAAAAACTTATCCATACTAAAAGATGAAAAGATTCACGAATGCTATTCTTAATAAATATATCCAATGATAGCTAGAAAAAGGTTGCCTATAAATTAAGGGTTTTAACTAACTACAAAATGTATATATTCGCAAGACTGCATACAAGACTTTTTTTTTTATCTTCTTTCTTTTATTTCTATTTTTGTTTTATTATTTTATTCGATTTTATTAATTGTAATATCAATGGTTAACTAGAAGCCTTAAACTGAACCAAATATCACGGAATCATTAAAAGATAAGTATAAAAGATAAATTAAAGCCGGCCATAAATGATCTTCTCTTTGGTGAAGAAACTATATAAATATATATTTTTCTTTGTCAAATATATATTTTTAACCGAAAGATATTAATTTTATTAATTAATAATTCTAGTCCAAATAAAAAAGAAAAGAAAAGCATAGTACATTACATTATTATTAAACAAAAGAAAAAAAATTCCCTGTCCATATTTTGTTGATAATAATATTAAACAATAATAGATGAAAAAAGTATGAACTAAATCATTATATTTTCTTGATCCATCCACGTACGCACATATTTATTTTGATCGGATATATCATATTTTTTATTTCGTGAAGTTAATGAGAAAATAATTATAAGCCATTAGGTTTGGTCTAATAACGAGAGGTTTAATTGAGTATGTTGTATTAGATTACGTGATCAATTCCCACTTGTATTTAAAAAAATAAAAAAATAATCGTGAGCTAAAATTAAAGTATAAGGTTCTTGAATTTCAACAAAGACAGTTCTTTCTTTCCTTTTCTATAAGACGAAACAGTTCTTCCCTAATTAATATCGTTTCAAAAGTTAAAAAATAGTAAAAGAAACTCCATATACATATATATTCACGTGATGGAGTCACAAGATAACAAAATCAACAATATCCAAAACAAAAAAAATATAACAAAATCAAGTAACATAAATTCAAATAACAAAAGTCTAATCAAGAATTCAAATTACAGTCTATCCACACACACAACAAAAAAAAATTCAAATAACAAACTCTAATATTCAACAGCTTCCGTTGAGATGGGCATAGGGTAGCGACACAAAGGACAAATATGACTAGTTTCCAACCATTGGATGAGACATTCTTGATGAAAGACATGGTTGCATGGCATTGATGAAACATGGATGCCATCTTCAAACTCCGTGAGGCAAACAAATACTACACTTTTCAATGGCAGCACCATCTTCCAACTTCACTTTCTTGAGGGATTCAATGGCAATCTTTGATGCAGGAACCATTTGAACATCTCTCATGGACTCCATCATGATCATGTTGGTGATGTCATCATCACGGTGCTCATCATGTAACTTTCGAACAAGAATATCCACAACCAAAGTGAACACACGAAACTGGGTACTTACATATGGGAAACATGAATGACTAGGACGACTATTTTGAACAACGTTTTCGGCGTATGTTATCACTCCTGACATCATATCGTGAATCACCTCATTGGGAATGATAGGATGAGGAAAGTACATTTGCATGTATGATGTACCCTTCTCGAAGAATTCCTGGATGGGTATGGTCATGGATCTCTCTGCATTAAACAAATCAAAGGATAATGTTGAAGAGTGTACCCGACGTCGCCGTGGCCGCCTCTGACTAAAGCATAGTTGATGTTTAACATGAACCTTAATGTTAAAATAATCTCCAACATGATCTTGTTCGAGAGTTTCGTAATGCTCCACTTCGGCTTCATAAAACGGAACAGAGATCACTTTACAAGAGCAAATAAATGGTTCAGACGACATTATTAATTAGATGGAGTTGCAATTGATGGACTCGTTTGTGCTTTGTGAGAAATAAGGAATGAGAGAAGAACCCACTTATATAAGGATTAATTCAAGAAACAACATATTTATTTCCGGAATTAAAGGGGTGATATCATAAGTACTCCAGTACCGGAGATTTAGTTCATAGATAACAATTAATTAAAGATAATATTAAATGATTTCTTGATTTGAATAATATCAACAACAAAAATTAAAATCTTGAATTTAATATTAAAATAAATAAATAATGTTATTTACAAGATTTTTACGAATTCATGAATAGTTGAATGAAAACATTTTAATTTATATGAATAATTATTTTTAAATTTACTTATATTACTATTATCGTTTCATACTATCATATTCCAGTTATAAAGTGATGATTAAAGTTAAATAAAAATAAAAACGCAAAAGACGAATACATATTTTGTTTTTCGTTATAACATTTAATTTTAAGTTAGTACTTAATACTTATTTACATTATAATTTTAACTGATGATATTGTAATAATATAGGATAAGAATTAAATTAACAGAAAAATATTTCTGCATTTAATGCAGATAAGTTATCTGCATTTACTTCCAAAACGATGTCGTTTTGATATTGAAAGATTAGAAAATTATAATTATAAAGACTATAATAATCCTAAAATAAATTAAAATTACAAAAACACAATGATTTTCTTCCCAAAACGACGTCGTATTAGGCTTGCTGCAAATAACTTATCTATAGTAACTGCAGAAAAACGAACCCTTAAACTAAAGATTATATATATGAAAGACAATAAGGGCCGGATCTAATTTATATATATATATATATATATATATATAGAGAGAGAGAGAGAGAGGTAGGATCCTTTCACACCAGTGTCAAATTTCAAATTTGACATCAAAGGATCCTACCTCATATATATATATATATATATATATATATATATATATATATATATATATATATATATATATGATTAAACGAGTATAACTGTTAACCTGACTTGATCCGTTTATAAAAAAAATAAATGGTCTGCCCTACCCTGTTAGCCTGATAACTTTTAACTTCCAAGCAGAACCATGAATCAACTTTACAAAATACTAAAATTCTATTGCTAAACCAAAAATCATAATTTCAATGTCCAAACAGAATCATGAATCACACAAAACTCATAAAATCTGCATTTAAGTCACTTCCAAAATGAAAATGCTCAAACTAACTAACATATATTTTATCAGATCCAACAAACAAATTCATACTATGTAAATTAAAATAACTACGTGAATCCAACAAACACATCATGATGCTTGTAGTAAGTATAACTTCTCCAAAAAATCTTTTAATATATTCATATACACAATCTAATTAACATGCTGAGATATTGGTTCCTCCTACATAAGAAATAAAGTCAGATTTCTATTAAAATATAATCGAATATAATTAAGTTATAAATAATTGCAATTGATTAAATTTATATCTTTTATTTTTTCTTCAAGACATACTTATTCTATTCTATTTTATTTAAAATAAATAGTATAATATAGGTCGGCCTGTAGGCTTATAGGTTAGACCTTGTGAAGGTGGGCCTACAGCCTTTTTATTAAACAAGTTTTTTCAAGACTCAAACTCGACCTATTTTATGAAATATACTAGATCAGGTCTGTCCTGATATAGGCCAAGCCGTAGACCCCTATAGGCCGACTCGGCCCAGTTTCACCCCTACAAAACCCTATGTCCATTCATTCACTGCAAATTGCCTCAAACGAGTCAAACCCACTCTCTTTATCATCCTCTTCTGTGCCTTATCTTGTTTTATTATAATTACTAAGTGATAAGTTTGAGACATCACGAAATTGGGAGATACACTTATATAACAATGTTCAAGTGGAGGCAAAGTTTTTTCCAATAAATTTTTTGTGGATAACAACTCAATTTCATTATAAATTTAATTTACATTTAAATGTTAGATTTTAATAATATTTATATGTTTATTTATATATATATATTGATTTAAGTTTTTCTATAAAATTTCTATGAAAGAAATAGTATATAATATTGGTTTTTATTTAAAGAGTGATAAAATTATAGATTTATATTACAATCAATCCTTTTAAATTAACTAAACCATCATTTGATGCTTATTATTATTAGGAAATGTATTTTCTAATTATGAAATAAATTTATTTCCTCCTTTCTCAAAACGAGACATTATTTTGGGTAGTGATAAATAATTTTATTATTTAATACGACAGAAGGAAAACAATATATTATTATTATTATTATCAATATTATTAGGAAAAAATATTTTTACTTTTGCTGCAAAAAAAAAATCTCTGTCATCACAAGTGAACAGATCCCATTGTAAAAAGAAAAGAGAATTTTTTTGGTAAAACCTTCTTATTTTTATTTTTATTGTGGGAATATTATTTCTCATGTTATATAGATATTTTGTCTCAAATAACACATAAAAAAGTAGATGGGTCCAATTTTTTCTTTCTCTTTTTTTTTTGGCGAGCTCCACCGACTTTTTTTATATGTTACATGAGACAATTTAACTCATGAAACATGAGAAACAATATTAACTTCCGATGCAATTTTCTTTCCTTTATCTCCAAAAATAGGGTTTAGGGTTTACTTCGAAACAAACACATATCTTATGAAATTCTGATAAGGAGGAACCTTATCTGTGAAGAATAGTAGAGGAAGAAGAAGAGAAGAAACAGAGGAAGATGAGAATTGAACTACTTTTATTACTCAGATGATGAAAAGTTCCCTTCCATTACATTCATATCCTTTTTATACTCAAGGATCCATACTTTTCTCTTTTACAAAGTCTGTTGCTCTTTCTAACTAACTAACTACCATTAACTGACTAACTACTAACTAGCTACCTTTCTGATGAATCTTCTAATTACAATTCCTCACGATATCGATATGGGACTTTCCTAGTTCTTTTTGTTCTTCTTTCTGCTATACTGACCTCTTGGTCCTCCTCTTCCGTTTCTCCGTGCTCTCCTCTCATATCAATACCCTCCCGATCACAAATAACCTTGTCCTCAAGGTTAAAATGAAGATATTGTTGGCTAAAGTGTTCCCAATCTTCCCATATAATAGTTTCTTGGGCCATACATGCCCACAGGACCTGCACTTGTTCACTAGGGCAGCCATCTTCTGCTAGAACTCTCCTTTGCAGTATCTGTTGTGGCTCCAAAATAGGATGGCCACTAGTAAAAACTTCTGGCAATGGAAAAGGTAGAATCATAGCATCTCCTTTGAATGGCTTCAGCAACGACACATGGAAGGTGTTGTGTATTTTTGTTGTTGTTGGTAATTCTAACTGATATGCAACTTGGCCAATACGTTTAAGTATAGTAAAAGGACCAAAATATCTCATTGCAAGCTTATTAGACATACGACTAGCTACTGAAATTTGGCGGTATGGCTGTAGTTTGACCCAAACCATATCTCCAATTTTGTAGTGGATGTCCCTCCGATGTTGATTGGCATTTTTCTGCATATTCTACTGGGCATGTTGCAAGTTCTTCTTCAATACTGATAGTATCTCCTGTCTAGTGCACAAGAGCTTGTCCACTTCTTCCAATGAAGATGAAGAAGGTAAATAGTCGAGCATAGATGGAGGCTCTCTGCCATACACTGCTTTGAAATGAGACATTCCTACAGAGGATTGAAAAGCTGTATTATAGCTCAGTTCTGCGCAATGCAAGAAATTAAGCCAGTGTCTGGGGTGGTCAGCTATAAAACACCGCAAGTACTGTTCCAGTGTCCTGTTCACCACCTCTGATTGTCCATCAGATTGAGGATGATAGGCTGTGATTCTCTTAAGTATCGTGCCACTCAATTGGAACAACTATGTCCAGAATTTACTCAAGAATACTGGATCACGGTCAGAAATCAATGATCTTGGAAACCCATGTAACTTGCAAATCATTTGAGAAAATAGAAGTGCTACTTTTGCTGCATTAAATTTTGTTGGTAATGCCCCAAAGTGAGCATATTTAGATAATCCATCAACTACAACTAGGATATTAGTGTAACCATTAGAGTTTGGTAGGCCTATGATAAAATCCATAGTTAGATCTTCCTAAACCTTTTCTGGTATTGGAATGGGTTGTAGCAAACCCACAGGAGCTTGAGTAGAGTATTTAGATTGTTGACAAATCAAACATTAATTCACAAATTTTTTAACATCCTGATGCAAACCTGGCCATGTAAATGCAGCTGAAGTTCTGGCTATTGTCTTCTGTATTCCATGATGACCCCTGTTGTGAAATCGGCAAGTATACCGTTCATTTCAAGTAATAAAGTGATAAGTAAGATATCGTTCTCTCGAGGATTAATGCGCCAATGATTAATTTTAACTATTACCTTTTTAATTGGAAAAGAAAATTGGTTTGATTGTGAAAGTGAGTTGTTATTGTAATTTTAAAAACAGACATTTAAAAACAATTAAATTCAAACGCATGCAAGAATATCAAGAACGTCAAGAAATTATGAGATTGATTAAAAATTGTAAAAAGATTGTAGCCAGGATGCACTTCACCTTCGATCCTCCCTTATATTCCTTAATTGTATTTTATAATTGACTAATTTGTTTACTCAGACAATTCATTATTTCCTTATAAATTAGTTGAACCCTAATGTCTTAGTGATTTCAACCCTTTAACCCAATTAGAATCCTAGTGTCCTAGTAATTCCTCTTGAATCAAGCATTAAGCAAATGAATTAAAAGTCTGCAATATATGTAAGTCTATGTCTAGCTCATGCACAAATTGTTATTCTACCCTTGTCTGAATTAAAATCCCAATATGTCTATTGTGAGCTCTAACCCTCAAAACCCTATAATAGAGAGATCAATTCTAAAAAGAGTATGGAAGAATTAACACAGGTAGAATAAAACTAACTAAACTAATTAATTTATAAAAAAAAATATAGAAACTATAAAGGATTCACATTGGGTCTGTGATCCC